AGTTCTGGTTAAAATCCTATGATCATCAATTATATGGGTAGGTATTATCAGTATTTGGCAGAAAGGCCGATCGTGACACCGACACCGACCGATGTTCGCTGTTTGTTTACGTTACCAAAAAGACGCGGGAAACGCGCGGTGGGGAGGAGGAGAGGGGTAGGGGTCGCGGCACGGCAAAGGGGGAGAGCAATAATTACGGCACACTCACCGACATAGGGATCGCCCAGAAAGTACGTCCATCAATCAATCGCCGTTACGAACCTACCGAGTTCAGCTCGTGCACGGTCTCATAGCGCCTGACGAGTAGGCAACGTCCTGCCTACAGTGCATGCGTGTACTGCGGGGTGGCCTACCCCGTGTCTCGCAGGCGCCGAGCTCCCGTTATTTGCCGAATGATTTTGAGAAAAACGGACGTACTTTCTGGACGATCCCATATCGTGGTCGCGGGATGTGATTCTTTCCTGGGGTAGACAATCCCGCCTCGCTTGTCCAGGATGTGATCCTTTGGGGATGCTTCCCGTCCCGTGCATCGTTGTGTGGCTCCAGGCGGCAACGCCAGGGAAGTGCCATGCGACAATAGTGAAATGATTAGGATAATAAACTATTATAGGTGATTTGCTATTAACACGTTGAGTGCAGCGTGACCCACACCGTGGGTCCCAATAACATGTAATTGCCTACCCCCGCCGCACTCAACGTGTTAATAATAATTATAATTGGTGACTTTTAAGAAATATGCACCAGCCCAGGTACACGACGTTTGGAGCCGAATCGTATTTGTCGTGGGAGTGTCATCGGCGTGCTCGGGAGGTCCCCAATGACGTACCCGGGGGCCCGGAAGACATCGGCACTACCAGATTTGGACTCAGCGTGCGAGAAAACCCCCGAACACGATATTTCAGTCGTCCTGGTCGTTCCCAGGTTGACGGTCGGTCGGTCGGCCAAACCGTATCTTATTTGGACAGCCCCAGATCCGAGAGCCGTGGCGCACTACAGCCAATCCACGGCGTGGCGCGAACCAAGACTTGTTCAAAGATAAGTTAATTTGCTTATGTCAGTGAAATAGCGTAAGTTATTTCATTTACCCTTTTCCAGGCCCGGAACTGCAGTTAGGCACTTCGTTTGCCCTCCTGATGGTATCTGTACCTGATTTAGCTCTTATTTCAACTGCCACTAAATGAAATAACATGGTTACTACCTTACTCATTTTATTTACTAAAATAGATAAATTAGGTTCGGGCAAACGAGCTTCGGACAAACGGGGCGCCCCATGATGATTGACAGTTTCAAATTGTTTGTTAAATTCTGCATCTTTTTACAGTGTGTACTGATTCTTCTTTAAAGTGTATTTACAGTGTGTAACCAAATGCAAATGTGCAGTCATGGCCAAGGGGGGAAAAACATTTCATGTCTTTCAACCTTCCTAGGGTAAACCATAAGATCAATATTTACCCCTTGCTGATTGAGTTTTATTGGATCATAAAAAGAACTTCACAGGAGTTACATAATTTAGAAAAATAGTTTAACGACCACTTTATAAGATATCCAGAAGGATTGGGACAAGTTTATGCAGACATTTCTCAACATTCAGATTTCTGTGTCTCGCCGAATGGAAAACTAACATATGCCCCAATATTCCCTGCTCACTTGAGTCAATAATGAGTTACCTTTAAACCTTTAATAAATTTCACTACACAGAAGAGCAAAAACCTCATGATGTAGTAGGTCACAGAAGCATACAAAGGCTCTCCAATATAAACTGCATAAAAGCAACTCAACTACAGCAATAAATTGATATGAAGAATGACATTTTAGTCCTAACATTTAAAACCATTGTTTAATCTGAACAGTTTAATACCTGTTAATATACAGTCTTCACTTCATCTGAAGAAAAAATAAATAAATTCATTATGAGTCAAGCAGTAACAGCATAACCGAGAAGAACATAAATGTTTAAGATCAGTTTGAATTTTTTTTTCATTAAAATAATAATCATGGATAGTTTGTGCAGTTTACAGTGCTGCAGTGGAAAACTTCAGCAGCTCACCATTCTGTCTTTCAGTACAAGGCTGGCTTTTCATTTTTCAGGCATAGAGCAAAGTTAGTTTTGAGAACAAAGTTTTATTCACTTAATCATTTTACAATAATTTGATTGATAGACCACTCAATACAAATTAACAGGAGGTGCAGATGTAAGAAGCAGAAATAAGATAGATGTCAAAAATGGCACCTTTAACTACAAACTTAACAAATCAGCCTTTGGGTTCAGTGCAACAGGAATGCTATGAACATCAGGAATGAAAACAGAATTTTCAAATTATAATTTACATTTTTACCCAATGAGATAATTCATGGTCGTAAATTTCCATAGTCCATTAAAATGGTTAATGATAGACCTTAAAACGTTCTGAATCAAAATAAAATGAGTTAAAATACAAATCTACCTAACATGATGTTGAATTTGTTCAAGTTATATCATTCAGCTTCAAAATTGATTATAATCAACAAGTCAATGGGAAAGCGCAATTCGGGACCAGAGACTAAGAAACAGCTTCTGTTGCACTTCCACAAGTTGTGTCGAAGCATAAGACACACTGAGCGACAAAATGGCTAATTTTTATTACTAGTTCAAAGAAAAAAATGGAACAACAACTAAGGTAAAGATCACATGTTCTTCTGGGATGCTCCCTTGCTCCAAACATGGTCTCCATGAAGCCATTACAGGATAACTGGATCACAAGATGGTGACATTTATATATCTACTTACAGAAGTAACATCACTTTCATTGGTATTGGAACTTTACAGAAATACCTTCAGCTGTGCAAAACCTCTTACCAAAACACTTGTCATGAGCACAGGCACCTGCTTTTTTTTGTAGGCTGGCAATAAACAAGCTCACATCTATTAATTACCCCACTCACATGTTTTAGAGAGTATTCCCAAGATGCAGTTGCGATAATCTAACCACATCCACAATGCATCTAAATGTTTTTTCCTTAAAATGCCAATCTTGTACTTAATCACAAAATATAAATTCGAAGTGAGTATAGATAAGCGAAAATGACACAAAGCACCACAAGGCACATTCTTCACAGGGTATGTAGAAGACTAAGTCACAAAACGGCTCCTGGTGTCCACTTTCTAGAAGGAACCATGTAGATCGCACATTGATTAGACACATTGGCTTTCAAACTTAGAAAAGGGTACTTAGACTATATCTGCTCCCATAGTAAATGCCAAAAAGTTACATCCACAACCACTTTAAGAAAGAAAACTGAATAGCAACAGTATAAAAGAATAAAACAAAATTTGGGTAACAATAAGCAACATTATAAAATTTTATTCCAGTTATAAAGTTAGCACAACTTTTATCAAGATGTACATCTTATGGCAAAATACAAATCTGCGAAGAAAAGTGATATTAAAACACAAAGTGTCTCGGGTAAAACACTGTACAATGAATGAGCTGAGCCACACAACTGGGAGAAAAATGACTAAAGTCAACACAGTAGTGTAAGATCTTCTGTGATATTCAACAAATACTTCTCACAAAGAACATTATTTCAAGAAACTAAAATAACAATGACAATGTTTCCCAGACTCTACTTATTCTCAGTGTCCCTCCCACTATTTTTGATTAGCAGTCCATGGCAATTTTGTTGTTGATGACCAGACCAATCTCTTCAATATGTTCCTCCCAGCTGCAGCCCAACCAAAATAAAGATAACCCTATGTTACTTATTAAAGAATGACCAATTAAAATTTGTCCAGATTAATTAATTTATTCCTAAGTCTACAAGATGACACAGTGGCTTTACAATTACCACCCCTTTGGTCTCCTCCATACAGCGCAGCTAACATTAAACAATGTACAAAACACAATATAAAACTCATTAATTACAACATATGCTGCCACCTGACAGGAGTACATGAGGCTTTTGGGACGGTTGATGGACTGATGGCAGAAAGTGGAGAACCCTTAACCCTAAAGGACTTGACAAGTGAGGCACTTGACATACCAATTTGTTATGTCTGCACACACACATCCACACATACACTTGTAAAACACAACCACTCAATACATACTCACTCCACACATTCATTAAGATCAAGAACCACTTGTGCACACTCTTCTCTGCACACCCCCATATAGGAACTTATCTGTTTCATTTCATTTCAAAATTTACATTGTCAATAGTCCTCTAAAATATGTACTAAAATGGGAAAAAAATTAACACAGATTGTTAACCTAATATCAAATTGCTTTTTTATAAATTTTAAATGCTAATAAAACTAGCACCATCTTTTAACTTCCTAGTATTGCATCAATACTGAAATACCCTGATCACAGAGGGGAGCAGCACAATTAACAGCCCTACACTCTCAAAGAATTGTATGGCTTGTTTAGGCCACATGAGTGTGTGGTGAGCGAAGGAGTGTGCACACAGAGCAAACAGCATGTGTTGTGTCACTTCGTACAAGATGACAAGCAGTGTTTGAGTAGCATCAAAGTGGAGTGGAGCCTACGAGTTCAAACCACAAATACACGCCACATCACTCCTGAAAAAGTTAGGTATTATTAGAATATTACAGAACACTTGCGTCTTCAAAATACTGTATTAGCCTGAATATAAGACCCTCCCGCATGTACGAGCCCCCCTTCTTTTGAAAACCCAAACTCAGGAACAACAAAAAAGAAAGGTTTAATGTGGGAAAACCAGTTGAGCATATAAGACACCCAAGACAATATTTTGGGAATAAGGGGCTCACGTATACAGGCAAATATGATATGTACAATAACAACAAAAGGAGTTACCTGGTCCAAAATCGCAACTAACTGAAAGAGCATCCTGTCACTGACAACACTGTTTACGCACACTGTCTGCGTTTACAGTAGGTTTCACATCAATCGGTTCTACATTTTGAGGGCGAATAGTATCACCTTCAGGAGGGTCCCTGATCTGCTTCTGTGATACAATACGGTATATTTCTGTAACAAGAAATATTGCCAATTTTCAAGAAATAGAATGATACAATAAAGTTTGTAATAATGAAAGACTATCAAAAGTTAAGTAAACAGAAATACAGAATAATTATAATACCTGTCAGAATGTTTTGGAATGCCAGTTCCACATTTGTTGAGTCAAGGGCTGAAGTCTCAATAAAAGAGAGTGAATGTTGTTCAGCAAAGTTCTTTGCCTCATCAGTAGGAACAGCTCTCAAATGCCGTAAATCTGACTTATTACCCACCAGCATGATAACAATGTTTTGATCTGCGTGGTCTCTGAGCTCTCTCAACCAGCGTTCCACATTTTCATAAGTCAAATGCTTGGCAATATCGTACACCAATAGAGCTCCCACAGCACCCCGGTAGTACCTAATATGGATGATAGGAAGTAGATATTAAAACAACTGAACACACACACTAGCAAAAACATACCGGCACTAGTAAATTAACTTACGCTGATGTGATAGCCCTGTAACGTTCCTGGCCAGCAGTATCCCAGATCTGAGCCTTGATTGTTTTACCATCAACCTGTGAACCAATAAAGGATATTAGATTTAAAAGTTGCAGGACATCAACAAATTTCTATAGTAAATTACTGTGATGTGTCAACTTTATAGACAATATACAAAATAAATTCATTTCTTGAGCCAAAAATTAAAGGAATCACATTGGGAATCAAGACATTAAAAACATTACAATTTTAGGAGACATGGTATTAGTCTCCTGCTACTACTATGGGGTTTCTCTGCAGCTCCAGACAAGTTATATTGAAAATAAAGGGTTTTCAGTACATTTAGACAGCATTCAATCTCCTGTAGTTTGTTTTGACTTGACACTGGCTCAAGAGAAACTTCTTAAAAAGAACTACCAAAGCTTACAAAAGCAACCTTCCACAATATAATAGAAATACAAAAATATTAATGATGCTGTGTGCACAAACCTGTATACTCCTTGTTGCGAATTCAACTCCTATGGTAGATTTAGATTCAAGATTGAACTCATTCCTTGTGAATCGAGATAATAGGTTACTTTTACCTACTCCAGAATCACCAATAAGGACCACTGGGGAGAGAAAAAAAGAGAACATTTTGTTAATTGTCAGTACCTATTTTGTTCAGAAAAATATGACATTTGACTAAAGTTAGAAAATAAAACAGAAAGCAAGTTCTTGAATCCTTTGGAAATTTATTAGTACAGTAATAGTAACTGTGTCAGTTATATTGAGAATGACTCAGCTGACAGTTGACACTTCAAATTCAAAGGTGAGCAACTTAAAAATTCTACCACTGTGTATAGAAGGGCAGTGATGACACTTGATCTTAAGCAGGGGGTCAACAAAATGGGAGTGAGAGAATGCTCTAGCTCTAGGCCACAGTACTGCACAATGGCAAACAAAGACCCTAACCAAACACCACTTGAGAAAGGAGATATTGCTAACAAAGATAACCTTGACAGCCAGGTGATTCATTGAACCGCGTAGCTTGGACATGATTAGCATGAGTCACCTAGTAAGGGCAAGAGGGCGAAGGAAGGAACCGCACCCAGCACAAATAGGCACTTGCTTTGATTGATTGCTTAATAGGCAGTAGATGGTAAGGCCGCGCCTTATCGGGGTACAAACCCCAGAGTTCTCCAAATCGCACAAAAAATAGTAAACACACAGGGTAAGAAAGGACCATTAATTGATTAGTGTGGTCAAATCAAACATGTTAAACAACCCTCAATGAAGAAAATTGAGGTGCTGGGAGGCAAATTTTGACAACTAAGCCTCCTAGACGTTGATCCGTCACTACCTCTAAAGGATGACAAACAGCTGATTATCGGTTTAATCACGGCTGATGAAACGATCCAAATCTTAGGCATAAAGCCAAAAACAGCCTTACCTTTGAACAAATAGTCGTATTCGTCGTCCCTGGTACCCATTTTGAGAGTTAGAAGACAAGTCTATTGTAGTTTGAAAGCTTAACCCTAGCCCTGCAACAAAGCAAATTTCACAACATAGAGTCAAATCTCAGAGAAAAATAGAAAGGCACATTGATAGAAAAAATACTATAGATCATGTAAAATTTACTTTTAATTGTAGAAAAGCAATGATGTCACAGATATTACGCAGGCTAAAATCAGGGAATTGAGCAGATGAAAATAACAGAATATGGCTGCCGCTGTCCCTGCCAACTTCTCCGCCCCTCAGTTGTGCCAGAACTCAAGCGGACATGACGTCACAGGCCCAGTTGTCAACATTTATTCGGAAATTAATTTGAAAATTTCCTAGAAAAAGCCGTAGTTTTTGACAGAAAATATATTTAACTCTAGCCGTCGTTGAATTTCATCGTACGCTAAGAGTGGGATGTTGAAAGAGAGACATACGAGTTGTGATAGGTGGGTATGACATCTTGGGAGAGGTGCCCCAGTTAAGGCACCTGCTCTCATCCCTCGACAAACTTATCATTTCAAGAATCGTAGAGTATTTTCTGCCTGTCAACACTAATCTACTTCTTGTAAAGTTCATTATGCACACTCCTAAGCCTTCAAAAAGACTTCAGGTAATCTTCAAAGCCAGATTTACATCTGCAAATTCCTTTATAAGTTGGTAAGCCTGCTTGAGGTCCGGCCGCCCTTACTCTACGAAGTCCACGATTGGAAGCTGCGACAGATCTGTAATTTGGTAGAGTACTGAAAGAGCATAGGTGACGAAAAATGTCTTTAGTGGTAGGAAAATAAGAGGTGAATGAGTTCAAAATATTTTACACACCAGAAGCAATACTTTAATTAACAGTGTCAATTAAATTGATACAAAATGATTAGAATGTTGGTGTGCTGGTAAGACAGCTTACTCACAGCTTGGCTTATCACATCACAAGTCTTGTGCCTCAACTAGAAATTCTCCACTTCCTCTTCAAAAAATAGAATTATGATAAAATTATTGGGTACTGCAATATGATAACATAACTTTAAACAGCAGTAATAAAAACAAGAAAAACAGAGAAAAGAGGAAATCAATGTGATCAGCATGATTTTATGCTTTGCTCAAAATACACAAGATATTAGTTTATCATGTAAACCTAGGGAATGAACAATGAACAAATTGAGCACTTACATGAGCTCTAGTCACGACACAAGGCTTGGGAAATTGCAAACAAAGATATTCTTTATTGAAAGAACGATACTTCAAGGAAAACATATACACAAAAAAGTTCAAGACAACTGTGATGAAAGGATCAGCAACAACTTGGGAGGGAGGTAGACACTAGGGGTGATCGAATTTCGCATATTTTTGATTCGAGAATTGTAATAGTGCGGAAAAGTTGCCCTGGTATATCCTAAGACTAACCATATTTTTTATATTTTTTTCGGACAAAATCTTGTGTTCGAACCAGGGGCCACAAGTTTAACATTGGTGTCTTATGGGCGTTTTGGTTAAAAATTGTTAATCTATCCTTGCTCCTCCAATTTTCACTTTACATCAAAAATAGACCCCAAATCGTGATCTACGTCAAAAACTGAGTTTAACGATGTGTAGCATGTCAACATCCCGCTTCGCACAGCGGCAAAAAGAGAACGGAAAAACTCGAAAATATCTCAAAAAACCCGTTTTTTGGTAATTTTATTTTCGCTTCTAAGAGTGGAATGTTGTCACATTATATATCGCTAGTCTCAGTTTTTGACGTAGATCACGATTCTGGCATTATTTTTGATGTACGGCGAAAATTAAAGGAACAAGACACCAAAAACACTTTTTGATCAAAACGCCCATAAGACACTAATGTCAAACTCGTGACCCCTGGTTCGAACACAAGATTTTGTCCGGAAAAAATATAAAAAATATGGTTAGTCTTAGGATATACCAGGGCAACTTTTCCGCACTATTACAATTCTCGAATCAAAAATATGCGAAATTCGATCACCCCTAGTAGACACCTTGGTGTTTTGCTCAGAAGACCATAACAAGACAATTGGCCTTTGAGACTTTTGTTGCTGAAGATTTCACCACGCCGTTTTGCTTACCCTCTGTGCTCACATGACTCAAATAGTCATATGTGACCATGTATGACACGGCAAACACTCAGTCTCTCACAGTAGTATTGCCTCTCTCAACAAACCAACTATCACAGCGATAGGTGCCATATCTCACATGGCAATATGAAACAATAGAGCCATGTCTGAAGTTAAGACTTTAATTAAGTAAATTTGCAATACTATGTGCCTCGGGTGGAAGCTGAATCCACAGATAGGTCTCAAACTAAAGTAGGTAAAAAACAAAAAGGCTCTTAACTAAATTTGATTTTTAGAGTCTATTCATTGAGCTCCATAAAATCTAAATTTTGAAAAATTTAACCTTGTTGAAAAATTAAAAGTACATCAAACAAGTTATAATCCTTAATTAGTAAAAATCACAGACAAAAGTATTAATTGTTGCTTGAGAATGTTGTTTATCACCCTCCCGCAACAAAGGAAAAGTTACATCAAATGAAGACCAAATGAATCGATTCTAGGAATTCAAAAATCAGAGCAATACTCAAACTAAACTTGAATATAATATATTCAAAACACCCCAGGAACATGAATTGCAAATACAAAGTAATCAATACTAGGGGCAACCTTGAGGCCATCATAAACAGATAATAAAAATGATAACAGTTTTGATTACAAATAAGTCACTTAACAACTGGATAAAATCAGATTTTGTCTCATGGCCCACTTGCATTTGAAATGGTACCTTAGGCTCACAGAATAATCTCACTGCCCATAGGATTAACATGAGGTACTCAGGTTAGAGGAAAAAGTTATATAATATAAACATAAAACAAGAAAATTGAAAGTGAGAAACAGTGCTAAGACATCACGGTGACTTACAGCACTACTGTACCTACACTATCTGTTACATAACAATACATATATACAGAAAGGCTTTGGTGGTTCAACACTGAGTATTAAATACCCTATGGCACTTAAAAACTCAACAATTACAAAAAAGATTGCATCTGATTTTGAAAGGATATCTGCATTACTTGGCAGTAAACTGGTTGGTTGCAAGAAACTAAGATACAGTACAATGAGACATATGTAAATACCGGGATAGATTAAAATAAGTGATTAACATCAGACTTCAGCAGACACTCTCAACACTGCCTTAAGATAGATTGACAAAACAGCTACATCTCTTGTTTGCTGCACAGACCCAACAAACACTTGTGCTCATAGCTTAAATTAAATTGTAACATTTTAGGCAATGAGTTTTGGATAAGGATACTGTACCTTCAAATATACAATATGTACTGGTGGGAAGGCTAACAGAGATTTCCAAAATCCATTAAGATACAACACTTTAAACAAGTTGCCAGAATTGAGATACACGCTCATGTTGTGGCAGTGACAAGGATTGAGGACGATCAAATGTCAGGGCTATTTCTTTCAATTTTTTCTTCATTTCTCTTTCAAATATCTGCAAAGGAGAAAAATAAATTTTAAGAAATGAATAAAAAAATGAAAAGTAGTGATATAAATTGAGATCTACCACTTAGAGGCAGACTACTCACATCATCTGAGTTATCTTCTAATATTTGACTCAAATCCCATTCTACTGAGGGAAGAGGGTTATAAATAAAATTAGCAGCAGTTCCAACTCCAGGTAAGACATGACTTTGTAGTGCGTGAAGTTCCCAAAGTGAGCTTTCCATTGCTCTACTTTTGCTAGGATCCCGTTCCTCCATAACAAATGGGTCCTCTGGAACTGAAGACAAAACAATTTAGTGTAAGAGTAAACAGAGAGTTAATGACGAAACTTACAGTTAGAATAGCAATCTCACTAACCATTAGTGCGGTTTGGATTATCTATGAGAAGTTTTAAACCTGGATGCCGCAAGATGAGATTTCCAATAAACATAAGAATTATATGAATGTCTTCAGGAGGAGCAACTAAAGACAAACGAGCTAGGCGTTTTGCAAATGCAGCAACAATATTTTCTGGAAGGTGCCTACAAAACAGAAAAATAGTCAAATTGTCAGTTTTGCTGGCACATTAATGGAGACAGCACTTCTTTGCAATTATATATTTGATATACTTACGTAGAGCTTAAGAACATATCTGACAAATAAAACAAGCGGGCTTTAAATTTGGTGTGGAATATTTCAGGTTCAAACATTGAGTAGAGTTTGCTGAAAATATTTGGATATTCCCTGTAACACAAAATAAAATAAAATACACAATAAGGGAGAACATCACTAACTAAAAGTTCAAGAAAGAAATTGTTTTTGAACTTACAAATTGTGGTTTTGAATAAGAGTGAAAATTCCTTGGAGGGCAAGCAAACTTATGGCACCACCTATAATTTAGAGAGGTTAAGATATTACAAACCCAATATTGCTAATTGATTGAGCTAATATAAATGACCATTTTGCATGGTGCATGGTCATGCGAGACTCAAAGTAATAGTAGGTAACATTTTTCTCACCAGAGTCAAGACTATCCATTAGGTAATCTGTGAGAAGAAGTGGTTTGTCTAAGAATGGTAAGACTCGTTCCAAAAGCACGACAAGCAACAAGCGTTGGGTTGCTGGGGTGTGATTCCAATGCATCACACAGCCCCAAACTTTGTTGACAGCTTTCCGCATGTGGTCCATATTTAAAATATATCCATTATGGCCTGTCAAAGTTAAAGGAAAATTAAAAAGGATTAAAGCTGACCTTCAACAATGAAATTAGCACGTGCCAATTTCTAGTTAATGTACCTTGTTGACCACATAACAAGTTGTCAGTCAGATCGTGATCTTGACCTCTCTCGCCCCTCCCTGGCTTGGGAAGAGGAAATTTATCAATAAGATCCAGATAATTCCGTATAAAATTTTCATCTGGTCTCTGCCCACTACGCTGAAGCCCAATAGCAATAGGGAACAACTGTTTCCAAACATTATACAAGACATCTGGATAAGTGGAAAATTCTTGGAGACGAGCTAAAAGTTGGCCACCATTCCGACCAGATGAAAGAATGGCAACCAGAAGCAGCTAAAACAAATCCAAAGAAACAATACGATGATATAATGAATATAATGAAAGAAAATCACAATAAATAAATAGACTGAGAGAGCATTCAGCCCAGCCATAGCTCAAGCTTACTCTTAAGCGGTTGTTAGGAAAATAGTGTTCTTCTTTCTTCAATGGTTCTAAAGGGTTCTGACCTTCCATGGCAATAAGTTTCATAGCAGTTGATAAGGCTTGAGTTTGAACAGAAATCTTTGGACTGTTTGACACAACAGCTAATATTTTGCTCCAGGCATCATCGAAGCACTCTCGTAGCCAAATTCTATATTGGCTTTCTGTATCTACAGCGCCTATTCATGAAAATAACCATTGATTTGAGAAATAAAATTAGTAAAATGTAAAACTATAATAGAAACATACACATGTGCATTAAACTTACATGATCCAGCTGCAGGGTTCTCTAGAAACATGTCTCGTCGTTTTAAAACCTCCAAAAATATGATTTCTAGTGCCAGTAAACATGGTGGAATATTAGACTCGTTGCTCTGCAAGAAAACAATATGCAAGTTTTGGTAAAATTACAACTAATGACAATCAGGCCAATAGGAGGAAACGTGTAGCTCTAACACAAAGTAAAGCAGTGACGAGCAGAAGCCCAACGGTCCAAACACTGGGTGGTTATGGCGAGTCGTTCTGCTAGAGGAAAACATGTAGAAAGACGTCGCTCTGAAACCTTTTCCAACGCAGTGCTCACTACATTTGAAAAGGGAGAGTAGCAATCCCAGTGGGGCTTGATGCACGGCTCAGCCAGGGCCACTCGCACAAGCCCTGCAGGCCTGAGACTGCATCTTTGGACTCAAGACGAGAACGTGAAAGTGTCTCCGCGAGCCACGCACAGGGCCACACAAACTGCTCGATTTCGACCCATTCACGGGTCGCCCCGGGGCCGAGGAAACGGCAAAACACGCACCTCAATCAGGGCAATGATGTCTGCGAGATTGTTGGCGTTCCTTCGACTGGAGAGGAAATCTATGGCCATAGAATGTAACTTTTTCGACACTTTGCTCGCCGCCATTTTGGTGGTGCTGCTGCTTGGGCCTGGGCCGCCTGCGCGAAGGAGCGGCGCGCACACTGCCACGGACCACGGCCAGTGCGAGCCTCGCGCACCGCGACCGCGAGCGCGACGGAGCGGCCCGCGCCGCCACGGGGGAGAGCTCGTTGGGCCCGTGAGGTAAACTCCCTGCGACCATGCTGCGACTACGGCTACCCAAGGTACCAAGGTACCCAAGGGTACACGTTTACACCTAACATGTTACACGTGTTACTTTCGTGTCATTTATGTGTTACTTTGCTTCTATGTTACTTGTAAGTTACTTCTCAATGTCTCATTATCCAAAAGGGCTGTCCATTGAACGCCTTCGTTATAAACGCAACGTTCACAAAACAGAACAACATCTTGTGACTTGAGCCGGCCAACGTGTAGCTGGGCGCAGGGCACTCCCTGATCCACCCCAACGGAGCCCCCGCGGAGGCGCAGCGGGCGCGGTGCTGCCGCAACCCACAGGGGTGGGGGAGGAAGAGACAACGATGTTGCAGCAAGGGGCGGCAACCGGGCGGCGACTCAGCACGCACCACAGTCGCGTTCAAAGGTTCACACACTCACCCCTGTCTTCTCAGCATTGCCTACGCCACCCGATTGTCTCCGCCCCTGGCATTGCCTACGTAACGGCATTTCCTACGCCACTGACATGACCTACGCCCCTGGCGCCGAGTGCGGGTGCTCTCCACCCCCTGGTTGTCCATAAAACCACCCTCGGTGCTCGCCCGACCTAAGGGGTGGTCAGCAACCACCCCCGGGCGGGCCCGCTGCACCCTCACAATCGCAGCGGTAGTGGCAGCGGCGTAGGCAGGAGAGGAGCTCTGAAGACCACCCAGTTACCACTTCTCCCCTAACTTTAATATTCGCAATGGTGTGCATCACCACTTCACGCTTTTCCTAGTCAGAAATCCGTTGAGAGGTTGAGAGTGGAGGGAAGAATGGTGACCCCCCCCCCCTTCCGGTAAAAGCCCTTAGAAGCGACGTGAAACGTAGGCAATTCACGGTAAACCCCCTGCATGTAGGCAAACCACAGAAAAATCGAACCCTTCTATGCCCCCCCCCCAACCCACCCTGCGCCCCTACAACCAGGTCCAGGACCGATGCAGGACAGCTTCGGCTTTAGCTTTGATCAACTTGCTTCCGCTACTTCCAATTTCGTCCCATGGACCTCGTAACGACCACCCTTTTGCCAAAATGTTGACCTTCACATCGACTCGGGATGTCAATCAATACTGCGTGAGCGGGACCCTTGGCGCCGTGGCTACGCCGCTGGGGTGCGCAGCTGCCCGCCCCCGCGGTCCTCGCGGACCTCGCCACCCACCCCCCTCCGGCCCGCGCCGGTGTGGCCGCCGCCGGCTCGCCGCCCCCAGGGCCCCGCAGGGAGCCCGGCCCGCCGCCCGCCGCGCCGCCGCCGCGCAGTCAGTCGTGAGCCGCCTCCCCCACGCGTGACACCGGCACGCCTTGAGGCACGCCGTCACGCTCCCACCGCGACGAGCCTCGCGCCCCTCACGGGCGTGACCAGGACCCCCGCGGCCCCGGCACGCACCGGTACCCGCTGAGCGCGCAAGCGGCGCAAGCCCTCGGGTTTGAATCGCGCGCCTCCGGGGGGCCCGGCCAATCGCTGCCGAGAAAACAAGTGCTTGCGCTGTTTATTCTCGGAAGGGAGGAGGAGGGAGGAGGATCGGCCGCAACGGAGTTTAGTGTCCGAAGGGCTCAACTGCTTTCGCACGTCGGCGAGAGCTCCGTGTTAAACGACCGTTTCGCGTCGTGGTTCAGCCGTCCAACATCGTCCTGATGAGGTCGACTACATGGCGGGCAGACTGCTGTCAACCGCCGTGCTGCTCTGGCTAGGGATATGCGCCGGGGAGGGTGAGTAGCGAAAGTACCCGTCGGTGCTACCCGTACGTCACAGGTCAGGCCCCGTCCCTCTGGAGCTCGTACAGGGTCGTCGCCCACTTGATCCGGGATGCCTCGACCCGGGGAGGGCCGCAGTCTCCCCGGCCAACCCTGCTTAATAACGCCGGCCCCCGTGTTGCGAAATTTTCGCAATGCCGTTCGCCCGTTGGCGTAGATTTTTGCATGGCCTAGGCCCGCAGCCACGGTCCAAAACAAATCGGACGTGCCTCCTGGAACGGCCCCGACACACTTCGTTTTAACTCAAATTCGCATTTTCTGTTTGTCTCTGCATTAAGCGGGTGGAAGTTTCCCTCCGTGATTAAGCCCCGCGACGGGAGGGCTCCCCTTGTCTCGGCCAAGCGAGCGCCGTGCGGACGTCAACATAACCTGGAAATTCGCGAACGTCCCATTGTTTTGATTGTCTATTCGCGAAACTGAACGGGCTGTTGTCTGGTGAAAATTCTGCAGGACTTTTACCCTTTACCCCCACTCCTCGGTCAGTTGAGTTGTTGTTAAGACATCCCGCGGGCGTCCGGTCTAGTTTGTCGATTTTAATAAGACGTGGTCAGGGAGGAATACTAGGCTAGAGGCCCCAACAACAAGAAGGCAACAAGTAGGGCGGTAGTAACGCGCTGATTGATCTGACATGACGTCTTGCCTTCAAAATTGGCACAGCCTAGGAGCTGTCGTCCGACCCTTGCCCATGTTTAATTGGTCGGAAACGCTGCTTAGGTTTTGTTTTTTTGATAAGATATGTTACATCACATTAATAGGGTTATGTTGACATAATTCCTAGAAAACTTATTTCATGTACTTTATTTCATGTGTGGTTTTATGATTTTGTGTGGGTGTGTGTTAATGCTTAAAATATAAGCATTTACATTTATTAGTTTGAAATAGAAAATTGCTTGTCTAGGAATTGAGATTAGTGTATGTTTATATTTGTATTTTGAATATTGTGTGCAGCAAGTTTGTAGAGAAATCGCAACTGCTTGTATGTTGCATTTTTGACAGTTGCAGCTTGACAGAGTTTCACCTAGTGAAAATAATTTTGCAGTGTTGCCTCTGTTATGTCTTAAGCAGAAATTTCATAAAAATAAAAATAGCTGTACAAGGAAAATTACTCTGGACAGCTTTAAATGAAATAGTAGTAATAGTACTAACGCTTTCCTTCTTGTAGTATGGTTTTTATATTTTTGTAGAGAAATTTATGTTTCCCGGGGGGAACTAAATTTTGTTCTCTACATTCTGAAAATTGCACCACTTTATGTCAGCTCTATGGATGTTAATGCTGTTGTCATAACAACATATTGTTGCTGAATATTGCTGGGACCATTGTTTTATCAGTCTAGGAAATGAAAATCTTTTAAGATCCGATCATTTCCAGCCTGTGTATTTTAAAATTTTTAAATTATACTTTTAAATTTGTTTTTGTCGAATTAACCATACCTTCATTGGTAGTACTATTGGCGGTATTCAGGCCCTTAGTACCGCCTCTTTTGGCTAAAGTTTGGCTCTGAGCGATGAATCTTGAAACCACTGCCTCAGTCCAAGATAAACATTTCTGGAACTTTTCTCAAAGATGAGTTAATCTCCCTCATCTATCATTGGCACACAGTTTAACAAGTGCTGTGTATCTCTGACTTTTCAAGTCCGTCGCACCTTAACTTGTATTGGCATGTGGGCATTCTCCTGGTATGTCAAGTATTTAACTTTTACCATAATTTTACTTTGACAATCATGATGGAATGCCTTGTGAGTCTGGACTTTGAACTTTTACAGCTTAACCTGCTTAAGAGCAATGTGTATCGCCATGTCTCCAAAATAGTTGACTTGTACAGCTGCTGTGGCTATGACGATGTGTCTCCACCTCTTAAGCGCATTTACAAGTGATTCTCTCCTCCGAATAACAAACACGGCAGGTTTTACTAGAGCGAGGCAGGCCGCCAGCCGTAGAGTCCAGTGGCGCCGGCCGCAGACCCCCGAAATCACGTTCTCGATGAGTGACCTCCAGCGGCGGCGGCGCGCTGTTGGCCGAGCGTCTATTTCCATATTTCTTTTATTTTCCCTTCTCTAGTTTTATTTCCTTCTCGGAACAGCGCGAGCGCGCTCCGGCCCGCCGGGCTGCGGGCGACATTCTTTGGGGCCAAACTGAACTTGGGGAGGGGGGGGCAGGGAAGGACAACATCTGCGGAAAGCTATTATGGCGTGTTTGACTTTTCACTGCTTGACGGCAACACATTGGGGGCCTTCTTGTGTGATGGCGACATGACGCTTTCCTCGCCAATCTGCTCCGAGACTCATTTGCCTATTAGTATATTTATGGCTGTCGCCGCACTGCTTCGCGGATGTGTCTCGGGCGCTCTCCGCGCGCGCTGTTACATCGCGTTCCTTTACAACGTGCGTTTGTTTCTCCCGAACCCTCCCCCTGTGTCCGCCCTGCTGCGCTTCGAGACACAACAAGTCTCCTTTTCCCTCGACGCCGTCGTCATCGGCTCGCACTCCTTCACTTCCGCCCGGAGAGGAGAGAGGGGAAAGGAGAGGGGAGAGGGGGGTGCTACCGATGACTGGACACACTCTCTCTCTCTCTCGCTCACACTCGTGTTTTGCGCTTTGCGCAGGTCGGCAACCTGGTGCGGTGCCGCTTGCGGGGAGGGGGGG